TCAAATGTTGTAGTTGTAATTTTTAGAGCTTCACAAAAACGCTTATTGCACGAGAACTAATAAAGCGATTTCAAAGAAAAGTGTGGCGTTTCAAAGATAAAATTCCAAACCTGTCGACAGATTCATTTTTGTAAATAAGCAATTCGGTTTCTGTCGTAAAAACAACGGTAAACATTGCCTTATTTTGGGGTCAATTTTGAGCCTTTAAAGTGCTCTAGCAACTTATTTTTGGCATATATAACTTTCATTTTCGGGATATAGGTTTTTTGGAGCAGTAGAAATATTATCGGTTACAAATTTTATATAAATTTAACAAATATTGAGCATTTTAAGGCAAAAAATTGTTGAAAAAATTTGCAAATTTTTTTCATTACCAAAATGACATAGCCCCCATACCTTAAGGTAAGACGTATTCTACGTCAAAAAACGATTAAAAACCTGATCTTTTCTATTTACCGAAAAAAAACCGAATTATAAAAATACTGCAAACAAACCAAAGAACATCCATATCGAATTAAATTAAGTTTTCACTCACACTAACTACTTACTGCTGTGCAACACAAATCAATTAAAACAATATTTCTTTTATTTTATTTTATATAACAACTTCATTTCCAAAAATAAGAAATACAATAAAGCGCAGGACATACATATTTATTCAAAAACACATTTCATTTTACAAACAAAAATTATTGTCACGGGTGGGACATTTGTACAGTCAAAATAATAATAATAATAATAAAAATAGTCACGAATACTACCAAAGCAAAGCCTACAACAAAAATTATTGCTTTATAATATAAAAAAAAACTGAAATTAATCTGCCACGGATGGGACAAGGTTTGTCACGGATGAGGCACGTACGAACTTTTATATGAAGAGGATGTTTTAGTATGGTCCATATTAAAGATTAGTTATTAAAAAATATAAGAAGCCAAGTAGAGGTTCAACTCACCCACTTTTTGCCCTAGAATAGTCATATTAAGACTCGCGAAATGCTGCAGCTCTCAATATCTTTTTTAGCGCAAATGGTGACACTAGGGGTATTCACGATCCGGTGCATACTATGCATTGCAGTGCATAGATAGCATGATTGGCGAATTGTTTGAACACATGAAACAACAACAATCATGCTATTTAGCATAAATCTATGCACCATGCTAGACAGTATACAGTGAATACCCCTACTATGTTCAAAAATATGTGTGAGAGCATGAATTATTAGCAACCGTCTGCATTTGTCGATGGCAATGCAATTTGGGTGAAATGCTTCGAGTATTTACACTTTTGTTTGTACTAGCTGGGTGTTGTTGGAGTCAAGAAATTTTTGAATAATCGAGTTTAAGGTCCAATGTGCCTCATATTTTAATATTTTCTTAACTAACTATGTGGAAACGAAAATGCAATAGTGGTAAAAATTTTCAATGAATTTTTAACATTGTGTAACAAACACGATACACAATCTCGATTTCTGTAATTAAATATAATAACTTTTAGTTTTTTTTTTTGTCACGGGTGGGACAACGCCAATCCTGCTTAATAATAACTCATAATATAGTATACCCAAGAAGCATTGTGCTGGGTTAACAATTCGAAAATGATTGGAAAACGAATCTTTTTTTCGAGTCCCACCTTCGGTAGCGAATGTAGCATAGGTTAGTATTCGATTCGAGAATTAGGCCGTTCTTCAGCAAAACGGAACCTTCGTTATCCAATGTATAAAAGACATAATTAAATTTGTTCTCAAATTTTTTGTTTTGCTTGTGGCTAAGGATTACAGGCAATTCAGTTATCTCAATGATACGGCTTCAAACCTTCGTCTAAACATTACCCGCTCGCTTACACTGCGATGCAGCTTTTCGTTCAAACAAAGGCGTTAATGTTTTCGTGGTAGAAAAAGGTAATGCATTCCCTATTTTCCCACCGGGGAGTTTCTTTTTACGTATTGAGTATGCACTGCTATGCAAACATGAGTTGACAGTTCCGATCGGTGATAACGAAAGTAAATTTCAAAATTATGTCACATTTTATATACATATGTACATATGTATCTCTGTATGTATACATACATATATTTGTGTACATTGAGAAAGCTCATAATCCATGTTGTCCCAGTACGTTCGCCAACTTTTGAATATCGGCATTCAAGTTGAATGCGAATCTTTACTCGGTTTTATTCAGCAGTTCATGGTTAGTTAGATTTTGGCTTCCAAAAGGCCAACAATGCCTTCTTAGTTGCTTTTCATTAATTGTTCGGTGGAAAAAATGGCGCTTCAAGAAGAAAATAATCATACAAACGAATCATCGCACAGCGTCTCAAATGGCAATGGTGCCCAATTGCCAGACTGGATAACAGCAGAATTGTTCAACAACTTCCTAAAGGAAACAGTGCCGGGATTTAGAGAAATCAAAAGCTTCAAAACAAAGTCCGCCGTGGCCCCGGGTGAAAATTATGCCACCATCATGCTGCGAATCGCAATGGAAATCAGCACGCAATGTAGGTTCGAGTAGCTATACTCGTAAAACACACGTACGATTAATCAAAAAGAGTCAAAACTCAAAATTTTTCCAAATTTTGTTTTGTTTCATAAAACAGTTCACAGAGCGTATATCTAAAGTTGTGATTGTTTTTGATTTAGGGTGCGATATGTTAATACATATATGTATTTATATTTCCATATTGTTTGTATATATCAACAGCTGGTAAGGAGAAGACTCTGTCATATATGATGAAAATACCACTTGAATCAATTAAGGACTTAATGGAGAAGCGAAACGTATTTGACATTGAAACCATGATGTACCGCTCAGTGGTGCCCGAAATGGAGCAGATGTACCGTGATNGACTTAATGGAGAAGCGAAACGTATTTGACATTGAAACCATGATGTACCGTTCGGTGGTGCCCGAAATGGAGCAGATGTACCGTGACGCCGGAATCGAAGTTAAATTCTCCGCCGGCTACTACGACATCCAGACGCCATCACAATTTGGTGTCATACTGCTGGAAGATTTGCGCCAGCGTGGTTTCAAAAACATCAACCGCCTTGAGGGGCTCGACATGGACCACGCAAGGTGTGTACTGAAGAAGCTTGCTCAATGGCACGCAGCGTCGGCCACGCGGGTCCAGTTGAAGGGGCTTTATCCTGCATCTTTGACAACTGCATACTTTTTGGACGACCACTACGAACTGATGAAGCAAATATATAAAAATTTGGGCGATGCATTTCTGAGCAGCGCGAGATCATTCCCAGGGAATGAAGAATACATCGAAAGCTTGGTTGGTATACACCAGGTCTACAAATAGGTTTTGATTCGAACCTGTTTTTAACCGAACCTTAGCCTTTATCGGGCTTTGAATCAAAAAACATGAACCGTTGTTTTTTTTTTTAATTAAGAAACAAAAACCTCCACGCGAAATGCATCTGGTAATTTCGTTTCTGCCAAAAATGTTGCCTTTTGATAGCCGCTTTCTCTTTTCGTGTTCGAAACTTCGGGTGAGAAAATTGTATGTTCGTTTCTTAAATCGTCACACTCTTTTAACGCATAAAAGGCACATTCTCTGCCCTGTAAAGCTCTGTCAGGGGAGATGGTTGCCCTGAAAAGCAGATGGTTGTCTTAAAAGGACAACATCAGGAAATGAGTTGGACGAAGTGAGTTGGACGAAGACAAGAAGGAAAAAACATGCTTTTTTATAGGGTTGAGTGTAACATCAATCACCGGGGAAGGGCAACATTTTTTGGAAGAAACTAAATCACCATATATCTTATGTATGTATGTGTTCTATGTATTGGCTCAAAAAAATATGCACCATTAGCACCGAACTGCGCTTGAACCGATTCTGCCATCGGTGAAAGTTTTTTTATGTGGTTTGGACCACCTATTTTTTAACTGAATTGCATCTTTGTTATATTTTTGCCTATTTGTATACTTTTGCAGGAAAAATTTAATTCACACTACTTTGATAGTTTCTTTAATGCCGGCAAAGTCGATCCGAATGAGTTTAATGTTTTGAACCATGGAGACTGCTGGTCCAACAATGTTATGTTTCAATACGATGCGTTTGGCAGGATCAAAGAGACATATTTCGTGGATTATCAAATTCCAAAGTATGGATCGCCAGCTCAGGACTTGTACTACCTCATCCTTTCGTCTACGAGCTACGACTTGAAATTGAAGCAATTCGATTATTTCGTAAAATTCTATCATGAAAATCTGGCCCAAAGTCTCACTCTCTTGAAGTATCCCAAGCAAATACCAAAACTGAAAGATCTACACATACTTTTACACAGAACCACCATTTGGGGTAAGTAACTGTAGAATAAACCTAACAAGACTTTGCTTCAATGCGCATCTTTAAAGCTTATACGACAATCATTAGTGTTATGGGCGCCGTATTGTTGGATCCCACCGACAAAGCGAATATCGTAGACATAGTCGGGGAAAGCGAAGCTGGGGATGAGTTTAAGAAGCAAATGTACACCAACGCCAGATTTCGAAGGCACGCTGAGGCTGTCCTGCCGTGGCTGTTCAATCGCGGCGTGTTGGAGTGCTGAACATACATACATACAATGTAAATAATAGAGTTGGGCACTTTAGTTCTTTTGAGTGAACCGTTGAGTTGTAGTTCGTTTATCTTAATGAACTAGTTCTTTAGTTCATATATGTAGTTCATTTAGTTCAATAGACGAATACATTTATGTTTTGGCGTTTTCTTTTCGAAACAAAAAAATTCGATTTTCATTGCCCTCTCCTTAGAAATTTTGCGTAGAGGGCACTGAGAGGGCAAAAAAAAAGAAGAAAACGCCATTATTTCAAAGAAAGTTCAATTATTTTTATTATCATACTTACCACATATAAAACAAAAACCTTGGTAATTTGAATTCACAGAATACTTTTACATGCATATGTATGTAAATATGTTTACGAACATAAATCATATAAAACAGTAATGGTAATCTTCTTAACATGATTGTTATTATAAATAAAATACAAATAAACGAGTTTATAAATAAAAACTTTAACAAATTCATAGAATACTAGCAAATACCCCGCGTGCTTCGCAGCGCCTTAAAAGTAGTTTTGTTTTGTTACTCCCTCAATATTATTTAGTTAATACTTAGTATTTGTAAAGTAGGCAGAACTTTTTCAAATTAGACGGTATTTAAAAAGAGTTTTAATAATATAAATTAGATTTCTAGGAGAAAGTCGATGTTTTATATATTTTTTAATTACCTACCCTAAACAAAAAAAAAATATAATCGAGTTCATAGATCGAACTTGTTTTTGAAAGTCTTACTTCATAAAACTCCTTGAATATACATATTTTATAAATGAGGCCATACGACTTTTGGGTGGGAGTTAAAACACAGCGCGCAGCGAAGCACGCGGGGCATTTGCTAGTTTTGTAACATTTAGCTTATCTCATCGATTTAATAATAATAATAATAGATTGGCGCCTACACATATTTTAGTGCATGGCCGTGCTTCTCCTTCGATTTGTGGCGTGCACCTTGATATAGTGGCAGAAATACACTCGAAGGTTTGCCATTGCCTGCTGAGGGGCGACCACTGTTAAGAAAAAACCTTTCTGTATTTTTTTGCCATCATCATTAAACTGAATTAAATGTTTCAAATACATAGGTGGTAACCCGCTTCAAAATTATTTTCTATAGTAAACTTTCTTAACCCTCTTTAGTTTGGTACCTGTATTGTAATATTTCATTTATTTAAACAATTTAATTAAATACAAATATTCAAACAAGTGCCAGCTCCCCCTCAAAAATATTTGCGGCCGTAATTTTTCCCCAAAGCTGGGCAGGTTGGTACCCATATTGCAATATTTAATAATTAAATTAAGTTAAAAATTTCAAGCAGGTGGCAACCTTCCACAAAAATATTTACGGTTCTAAGCCTTCTTTAACCTCTTACTTATGATTCCTCTCTTTATGATTCACTTCTGCTTCTTTCGGGATTGGGTTTGCAACTTTCACTGCATTTCTAGTCACTAGAGCTTGGTTGATATTTATACGATGTCTCATTATTTGCAAATTGATCACTCTTTTCAATTTGCTCATCGGACATAACTTCTTGTCGTAAGGCAAACAAACGTTCTATCCGGATTTTTTTTAATATCGGGATAATCCGAATATTCGAATATCTGATTAAAAACTCCGAATATCCGATTATCCGTATGAATGATTTTCGTATGAATTTCATCAATTGGTTTACACATCACAACGTAATTAGCGGGTCGATTTTTTTTTTTTAATGCGGGAAGTACATTATCTGGGAATTTTACTGTTGTTGCCATTCACTTTGGATTAAAAAAGCATAAGCTCCCGTTCAAAACGATTAAAAGTGGATCTACGGCAATTCGCCGGTAAAATATTGTTTGGGTACTCAATGGAATATTGCTTTAAAGAGAAAATGGCCTAAATCATTAAAATAAGTTGCTTCATCAAAATGCCATAGATCTATTTTTGTTCAATGCGAAAAATTTAACTGAAAAGGTTTAAGTCGTTTTCACACACTGTTTTTTTCTGCACAGGCTTCATTGAGTTTGAGTTATTAATTTATTATATGTAAAACAGTGTTTGCATTGTTCAACTTTTTGATCAACTTTTGAACTTGAATAGTGCCAACGGTCTTTCAATGAAGTTGGTCGTCAGCCAACTTTCGTTCTTTTGATTGAACTGATCGCCTGTGAAAGTTGAACAATGCAAACGCTGCTTAACACAACCCCATTGAAATGAATTGTACTTCATCTTTGAAGTATGTAAGCTTTTTTCGATTAGATATGTACATACATACATATGTATCTGATCCCCACTGCATATGCAGTCGGCGTAAGAACTTCTTAATTACACAGTGCGGCAGTTTATATTCCTACTTAGGGGGTTTCAAGGTTTTAAACCTTCTTACTCTTTAATGATATCAATTCATATTTGGGTACTAAGGATTCTTAAACTTTCCATTTTGGATTTCGAGAGTTTCACAGAGAAAAAAAACGAAATGAAATATTAATCAAACCTTTAAGTCTTTGAGTTGTGATTTTTACTATAAATATAAATATATAATCGTAATTGTTATACTTCCTGGAATTTTTCAGTCGAACATACATACCAAATTAAAGCTACTCTACATAGAAACCTCATTTTAATCCGAACCTTTTGCCGGATCTGGCGGCGTATGCATACTAAACTTTTGGGGTTGCTGATTACGAATCTGATGTCAGATTTTCAAAATGCAAAATGGCGGATCCAATATGGCGATCAACTTAAAAAAATATATTGATTGGATTTGTTTGAAGCTCGGAACTACCATTTTGAATTTTGAAAATCTGACATCAGATTCGTAATCAGCAATGCCATAAATCCACTGGTAACGAGTTTCAACCCATGACAATGCTTAAAACTGTCAGCATCAACGTTTTAATTTTAGCAATTTTTTAAGAATTTGATTGCCATATTGAATCCGCCATTTCGTATTAAAAAAACTGATTCAGGTTCCTAATTAGGAACCCCAGAAACCCCCTGGTTGGTAACAAGTTTCAACCCATGATAATACGTAAGTCGTTCAATATCAACCTTTTAATTTTGGTAGTCCCCTAAATTTTTAATTTGTCCCCTAATAATACCAGAGTAAAAACCCCAATCTTAGCTGCATTTTAATATGTCACGAAAATAAAAAAAAAAAATTGGAAGATCGGCGTTTTTATAAAAACCGACTAGCGCGGCAACAACAACCTCTAAAAAGAGTTCCCACGACAGTCGGGTCTACGTAACCGGAGCGACCCAGATTTATAACTGGCCAAGGACTGTCACTCCAGCAACACTCCCCAAAAACCTTTTGGGGAACTTGTATGCTGCTACAGCAACAACAACCTCTAAAAACCTTCTTTTTTTTCAAAATAAAAAATACGTTTCTCTTACAATAATTTGAAGTAGCGTTTATGAATTTCCTAAACAAAAAAATTTGAACCACTCTAATGTACATGCATGCAAATGTACGAGCGGACAGGACGAGGTTCGTTGCGATGAGTTGTGTGAGGTACAAATGCTTTTATCAAAAGTAACGAGTAAAGTAACGATATGAAAGTAACGGGTGTTGATTGGATTAGTAACGAATACATACGGCTATCCAAATATTCTTTACTTTTACAGCCCTACACTAAATGCAAAGCAGTCGCAACTCAAAACTTATGAAATTTTAGGAGTACTAAAAAGCTGTAGAACAAGAAGAAGCAACGACATTAGCGCCAATAAAGAAATATTACGGAAAAGCGATTTTCAAATTTTTAGATCTTCGACTATTTTGTATTTGTGTGATATGTGNCGGAGCGACCCAGATTTATAACTGGCCAAGGACTGTCACTCCAGCAACACTCCCCAAAAACCTTTTGGGGAACTTGTATACTGCTACAGCAACAACAACCTCTAAAAACCTTTTTTTTTCAAAATAAAAATTACGTTTCTCATTTTTTATCACAAATAACAATAATTTGAAGAAGCGTTTATGAATTTCCTAAACAAAAAAAATTTGAACCACTCTAATGTACATGCATGTAAATGTACGAACGGACAGGACGAGGTTTGTTGCGATGAGTTGTGTGAGGTACAAATGCTTTTATCAAAAGTAACGAGTAAAGTAACGATATGAAAGTAACGGGTGTTGATTGGATTAGTAACGAATACATACGGCTATCCAAATATTCTTTACTTTTACAGCCCTACACTAAATGCAAAGCAGTCGCAACTCAAAACTTATGAAATTTTAGGAGTACTAAAAAGCTGTAGAACAAGAAGAAGCAACGACATTAGCGCCAATAAAGAAATATTACGGAAAAGCGATTTTCAAAAGTTTAGGTCTTCGATTATTTTGTATTTATAGTGTGATATGTACATACATACATACATATGTATGTTCAGCACTCCAACACGCCGCGATTGAACAGCCACGGCAGGATAACCTCAGCGTGCCTTCGAAATCTGGCGCTGGTGTACATTTGCTTCTTAAATTCATTCCCGGCTTCATTTTCCCCGACTAGGGCTGCGACGTCGGCTTTGTCAGTGAGATCCAACAATACGGCGCCCATAGCGCCAGTGACTGTCGTATAAGCTATAAAGATGCGCGTTGAAGCAAAGTCTTGTTAGGTTTATTTTACAATTACTTACCCCAAATGTTGGTTCTGTGTAAATGGATGTGTAAATCTTTCAGTTTTGGTATTTGCTTGGGATACTTCAAGAGAGTGAGACTCTCCGCCAGATTTTCATGATAGAATTTTACGAAATAATCGAATTGCTTCAATTTCAAGTCGTAGCTCGTAGACGAAAGGATGAGGTAGTACAAGTCCTGAGCTGGCGAGCCATACTTTGGAATTTGGTAATCCACGAAATATGTTTCTTTGATCCTGCCAAACGCATCGTATTGAAACATGACATTGTTGGACCAGCAGTCTCCATGGTTCAAAACATTAAACTCATTCGGATCAACTTTGCCAGCATTAAAGAAACTATCAAAGTAGTGCGAATTAAATTTTTCCTGCAAAATATACATATTAGGCATACAGACAACCGATGGCAGAATCGGTTCAAGCGCGGTTCGGTACAAATGGTTTATCTTCTTTGAAACTATGAGCCAATGGTTAGAAACTTTAAAAAGCGCATGTGAACAAAGCCCATTATTCTATAATGTGTAACGGTAGCTTGCGAATTTAGCAATTTTACCAATTTTACCGAACCATTTTCGCGTGCAGCTTCAGAAATTAAAAAAAAAAGCAACGATGTATACGAACCAAGCTTTCAATGTATTCTTCACTTCCGTTGAATGTTTTTGCGCTGCTCAGGAATACATTGCCTAAATTTTCATATATTTGCTTCATCAGATCGTAGTGTTCGTCCGTAAAGTACCCAGATGTTAATACTGCAGGATAAAGCCCCATCAACTGGACCCTCGTGGCCGAAGCTGCGTGCCATTGAGCAAGCTTCTTCAGCGCACACTTTGCGTGTTCCATGTCGAGCCCTTCAAGGCGGTTGATGTTTTTGAAGCCACGCTGGCGCAAATCTTCCAGCAGTATGACACCAAATTGTGATGGCGTCTGGATGTCGTAGTAGCCGGCGGAGAATTTAACTTCGACTCCGGCGTCACGGTACATCTGCTCCATTTCGGGCACCACCGAACGGTACATCATGGATTCAACGTCAAAGATGTTGTGCTTCTCCATTAGATCCTTAATCGATTCAAGTGGTATTTTCAACATATACGACAGAGTCTTCTCGTTGCCAGCTATGGAGAATTGTACATATTAGATATGCATACATAAATATGAGCGTATGCATGTTTTATGAGTCAAGTGGCTACGTGGTGGGTGAATCATCGAATCGAACCTACATTGCGTGTTGATCTCCATTTCGATTCGCAGCATGATGGTGGTATAGTTCTCACCCGGGGCTACGGCGGGCTTTGTTTTGAAGCTTTTGATGTCTCTAAATTCCGGCACTGTTTCCTTTAGGAAGTTGCTGAACAGTTCTGCTTTTATCCAGTCTGGCAATTGGGGACCATTTCCAGTTAGAACGCTATCCGACGATCCGTTTGCATCTTGAAGCGACATTTTTTCCTTTGAACAATTAGTGAACGCACTGTCGGCCCCTCGGAAACCAATAACTAACTAACCATAAGCTGCTGACTGAAGTTGAATAATGATTAGCATTGAACTTGAATGCCGATATTCAAAAGCTGGCGAACGTAAATGGGAGACGAGATAGATAATGAGCTTTTTCAACATACATACATACATTCATACATACATATGTAAGTTTATACAATGTAGCTGCGTTGATGATCTTTTATGCGGGGCTTCTGCCAAATTTTTGAAATTGGCTTTCGTTATCAGTAATCACGGTATTACACTGAATTGTATACTCTTGTCCGCATAGCAGTGCATTTTTCTGTGTGTTTAAATATATATGTACGTAAAAGCTTGCCTGCCCAATGTGACTCGTTTCGACTACCATTGAATGCTCTCGCCATGGTTCAATTTATACAAAAAAGCAATATGCAAACACAAACAACGCTTTTGATAAATTGACCGAATTGCTTCAAGCTCGCAGAGAAGAGATTAAGGTAGCACAAGTNCATTGAATGCTCTCGCCATGGTTCAATTTATACAAAAAAGCAATATGCAATCACAAACGGTTTTGATAAATTGACCGAATTGCTTCAAGCTCGCAGTGAAGAGATTAAGGTAGCACAAGACCTGTGCTGGTGAGCCATATTTTGGAGTTCGATAATCCACAAAATATGTTTCTTTGATCTTGCCAAACGCATCGTATTGAAACGTGCCACATTGTTGGGCCAGAAGATGGTTCTGAACATTCAACTCTTTCGAATCGACTTTCCCACCGTTAAAGGAACTATCGTGGTAATGTCCACAGTATTTCTCCATGAAACGAAACAGATATGTACGTACGTTATATGTTTTCATTTAATTTTATTTAACACTGTTCACGCTTTTGTGCAAAACAAATGGCTAATTTTTGCCTATCGCATTTTCGCATCAAACAGTAAACTCTAGTATAGTAATTAAAAAGCAAACTCGGGTCAGTGTAGGATATCAGCCACAAGCATACACACATGTAATTCTATTAATTTTTTACCAATTCAAAAAAATTTATTCTTCATTCGAGTTTTTAAATAAAATATTGCACCTTTGCATCCAAACTACAAAAAAGTATCATATTTTTGGCATCTTGTATAGTATAGTAAGAACTTTTTATGAGACCTGTGTAAGATAATGAAGGTAATTCTTCTCTATAAGCCAAGGTAGAATCTCCTTCATTTGCGACACATAAAGTGGATTGTAAAACATTCGCTTCTTAAACGCTCTTCCCTCTTCGTTATCACTCATAAAAGTTTCTATATTAGAATTTTCTTGAGAATCCAGTAAGGCCACAGCGAGTATGCGTTGTACACAAACAAATGCTGCAAAGAAGGAAACAAGTATCCAGTTAAAGTGATCCTAGTAATAAGTTGTCAAAAGTTTAAGGTTATTTAAAGCAAACACCAACGAAATATACAGCTAATAGCTTATTTAGGTCTCACCCCATAATCCATATTTTTCCAGTTGTGCTCGTAAGTCATCCAAAGTTGGTACTGGTTTCTCATATCGCAATATTTGAAAATTTTCAATTAGCTTCAGGTGATAGTATTCAACAAAAGATTCGAAGTTCTTCAGCTTTATAGACCAATTTGGTGAGGTCATTAGAAAGCAAAACAAGTCCATTGCAAAAGTTCCGTACTTGGGCAGCTGAAAGTCAATGAAGAGCACTTCCTTAACGGTGGTACGGTCTTCGCCGTCGTGTTGGAACATAACATTGTTTATCCAAAAATCACCATGGTTCAGAACATTGAAGGCTTGTGTGTCGACACTGCCGAATTTTAAATACAACTCGTTCATATTTCGCATAAAAGTTAACTGTGGAAGGAGAACAAGCAAAATTGCATATATGCTGGCCCTTCTTACTTCGTTAGTATTTAGGTATCGTTACTTAGAAAATTATAAATTTTGTGATAACTAAAATTCGATTAAATTGGGTAGAAACTTTGAAAATAAAGTTTGCTTGTGTTTGCTAGAATATGATTAGAAATCTAACCTTTCTCTCCATATTGAGAACTAACTCCTCTTTGTGTAGAAAATGCTATAATTCTAACCTAACCTACTAATTATAACCTTCTACCTTAGTGAAAAAGGCTTTTACTACTTCGTCGGACATTATAAAAATGCTTCAGTTTCGAAGAAAAACGAAGCTGACGCGTGTTACAAGCCTCCTCGCTCGGGAAATAAAAACCTAACTTTAAAGTACAATAAATAAAAGTAATAAAAGTAATACTTGACGATTAAAGCTTAACAGAGAATATTTGAATTTGCGAGCATTTTGTCACATTTACATACTCTTTCAACACTAAGGTAATAAACTTATCCAAAATAAACACAGTTTTTACCTTTAGCCTGACCAGCCTTTGTAAACTATGTACAGTAAAACCCGCTTAAGTACCTCACAAAAATGTCAGCTATTTGAGGTACTTAGACGGGTTGGGTACATAAAAGAACCCGCTTNGTGTCGCCCTCGGAAACAAATTTATTGCCGGTAATATTGCCATCGAATCGATTTCCTATTACCGGTCGCTTTAAAACGTCCGCCGAAGGCAACTCGCCTGGGCGAGTCGTTTTCTTATTACCTGAATAAGTCCTTTTCTTATCGCTTCAGGCGATATTTGGAATAATTTTATTCTTTTTAATACTTCATTTATTTTTTTGTATACCAAATTGCAACTTACAATCGGAATTAATTCATTTTCTCGCTGTGAAGCTTCCTATTTTTTCAATCTTGTCCTTGGGCATAATTTAGATGCTTTTGGCCAATACTATTGACGCCATATTCATAAGTTTCGGAATTTTTGAGAACTTTTTTATTCAAAATTGACATGAATGAAGTGATGTTGCCGATTTGTCACCACAGCAATAAATCGGTGAGTCGCCAATTTGTTGCCATTGACGATTGTTGCCTATTTCTCATGTTTTGCATGGTGGGTTGTCGATATCTTTTTTTGCCCAGCTTGACACTTTTGCAACTATGTATATGTAAGTGACAATACAAAAATATTAGTTTTTAAATTTGATTTTGAAAAGCAAGGCAAAATGGTTTAAAAATATTTATACCAAAAGATCTTCAAAATTTCATCCACAACTCCCTGTCAGGACCGCGTGGCACTTGCTTCGTTCGGCATTGCAGCTAGGTTGCTGGAAGGCGGGCGAACGGCTCATTCAGCACTAAAATTACTAATTCACTGAAAACCTGATATGCAACATCTCGAAGACTTGTTCGATGGCCAAAGTTCTGCAGCAATGTAAGTTAAAAAGTCTTTGAAGGTATTAGACCGAACGATGCGAGATCTACGAAATAATCAGAAGATGCTTGGAGGCGCGATGATTCTGTTGGAGGTGAGTTTCGCCAAATCGGTTAACGCCAGCCACTGAACTCAATGCATGTTTGATGCCCGTTTTGTGGAGATATGTACATACTTTAAAATTAAGTATAAACATACATACGTGTCGACCTGCAGAACGACCAATTTGGAAAGGTATTTTCAAACCAATTACTGGACATTTGCAATGGTAGAATATCCGTTCATATTTCAACTGGGTGCATTACATTGCCCTCTGGTTTTTGTTAGTTCACCAAAATCAAAGACTTAACTCATAGGAAAAGGTTTCCCGAACATTGCGGAAAATTACAAAAATCATGATTGGTTAAGCGAACGGGCTACATATATTAGCTCCGAAAAACATCAATGTCAATCAGTTGAATTTGAAGATTCAAAGCAACCATTCACGTCTTTGTAATGGAATCCAGATGGCGGTGAAGAAATTGATGAGCAACGTCACCGAAGTAAAAATTATGAAAGGAAAGTATAAAGGAGAAGACGCTTCGATACCACGCATCCCAATGATTCCCGTTCGACTTGCAATATGCGATGACTATAAAAAAGTCACAAGGACAGTCATTGAGTGTTTGCGGTATTGTATGTCGCCTGTTCCCGTGTAGGGAAAACCACTAGCTTGGGATACTTACGCACCAGATAATGAAACAAAAAGTATTGGACCGTATGAATAAGTTAAGCAATTGCTTTTGCTAAAATTTTACTTAAATCGAATATATCGAGAAAAAGGTCTGAAATTTTAAGGAAAGTAATTGCTTAGTTTTTATTCATGCGGCAGCATTGTAATGAACTAAATAGACTAAAAGCCTGATTATGAGAACTTAACTTAACCTAACGGAACATAGAACTTAAAAAATCAAAATGAAACAGATTTCGACGTTGCATTAAGTTACGTTAAGTTTCGGCTGTTGAATTATAAGCAACATTCATTTATGAGAATGTGTGAAGTAAGAGCCGATAAGTTACGTTAAGTTGCCATAATCAGACCATAATTCTAGCTGGTTTAAACTAAGATTATCCAATCAAATGTCAACCAGCTGTTAAATATGAGCGCACTTTACATAATCTGAGTTTAAATTGGCACTGGAAAACTGGCCTTAAGTGGTTAAACCACTGCCTTTGTGCGCCTGAGTGTCTCGATTCAAATCCATGTGAACTTAAAAATAGGAATTCTTATGAGGAGATGTTGTGATCTCCGAAATAGCGACTATAACTTCTACCATGGCCTCAAGCTCCACACAATTATTGAATAAAACAGTTATCAGGCTACAAATATAAAAGTAAACGTTTAATTTTACTGCTGGAAATAGTAATGGAAAGAGTTTTATTGAATGAATTAATATTTATCTCATTTAAGTTTCATTAGAAAAAAGTATATATCCTCCTTGCGTGTTAAAATACTTCGCCCTCAGGTATGAAATCCAATAACCCGCGAGTCTCTAGCCATGGAAGCAGTTGTGTCATGTGGTCAATGTAGCGCTGACTACGGTACATCTTCCTTCGCATGTCCGCATTCTTGTCATCCAGCCAAACATCGACGTTGATGTCCTCGCTTTGGTCTGATAGTATGATAGGCAACAAATCGCTGACAATACTATAAGCTGAAGTAAAAGTAAATTCATTAAATCTTTGTCAATAATTCCACGGGACCTTCTTTCAGTAAAATTGTTCTTTATGTTTGCCGGTACCGGTACCGGTACGTGACACCCGCATGGATCGAGTTAAAAATAAAGTCAAATTTCGTTTTTCAACTGGTATCACATTTTTACCGCCGATTTTGAAAAAAACGGGACCCGGGTAAAAAATTATACCTCTTAAAAACGGAATTTAGTCTTCATTTGACCTTGATGTAGACGTGCTGGGGCCACGTTGGCACCGGGATCGTGTTCAGCGATTCGGAAGGTACAGCTATCAACTAGACTGAGAGAAGGTTCTATTTTATTGATTAACTTATAATTTTTCCGAGTTTAATGGAATAAGATATTCCCTAATCTGATATAAAATTTAGAATTCTTACGAAATAACGGTGGAAATGTTAAAAGAGTTAGGGTAGAGATATTTTCCTACATCTAGTAGTCTACAATTTGAACTTATATTTTATATGAGAAGTGACCAGATAATTATTAAAACACAACCGTTAATTGCACTCCAGTAGGGACTACACATTTTCAAAAACAAAGCGAGCGAAGAATTAAAATAATTTACTTAAGCCAAGTATAAATACTATTTCAACGTAGATACTTCCGGAAATTTTGGTCGTCAAGACTACCTATTTAATATTAAATAACAAAACACAGTATCTACCCCAATTTCCGTGCCTGTAGAGGGCTACGTGGATATCCCTGAGTGTCGGTATTTTCTCCCCATATTTCAGCAATTTCAAGCACTTCACCAGTTCCGCATGGTAGAATGAAACGAAATATTCGAAATGACTAACTTTAACATCCAAATTAGTTGATGATAGCAGAAGATAATACAAGTCCACGGCAGGTGAACCATATAAATTCAACTGGTAGTCGAGGAGATATGTATCTTTTATCGCTGCGCTGTCATCGTATCGAAACATAACATTGTTTGACCACAAATCGCCATGATTTAGCACGTAAAACTCGTGGGGTTGTTGTGGGACTGCTTCCTGATTGGGATCGCAGGCCAATTCACAAAAGCTGTGCTGAAAGATATTTGAATGAAAAATTAAAACTTGCTGGGTTGAACTGTCGCGCTGAGCTCACCAACTTCTCATCCAGATGGCACACATCCCCATAGAGTGGCAAACATTCGCGCAGCAGCTTAGTGCGGGTGGCTCGCGCTGGGTAGGACTCGTCCACTTCGCAGCAGTAACATTTGTCGTACAACTGCGGGTAAGGCCCGTGGAGATCATAGTAGACGGCAGAAGCGGCATGCAGTTGCGCGACTTTCCGCAAGGTCGCTTCGGTGTGCGCCTTATCCATGCCCTCTTGTCGTTGGATGTTTGTGAAGCCAATCGGACGCAAATCCTCCATAACCAGAATTTCGCCTTCGTGTTCGACCGGCACTGGCAGCTGGAACACTTTGGGGCCGAATTTTACGTCCAAGCCGCAATTCCTGTACATCTCTTCAAAGGCTGGCAAGTATGTATTGTAAGTGCAGCTCTCCTTATCAAAGATTTGCCAGTATTGTACCAAGTTGCGTATAAATTGGTTGGTGGGTAGTGTCTTAACCATGTAGGAAACTGCGGTTTTTGTGGCGTCTGGGCCATTGACCGATTCACGAGCGTACGAAAATAAAGCAGAAGCAAAATAAAAATAAACAAAAGCTTAATTCTGAATATTGCTTCAAACTGTGTTGTTCTTTAAATGCCTGCATATGTACGAACCCACTCGCACAAATGTAAGTACATGCATACACACATTGTACATTAGACTGGGTCGCGAAAAAAAATTTTGTTTGAAAGCTTACATATGCGCACGGAGTGGCTTCAACTGGCAGTCTTCACCTGCTTGATACGCTTGCGTACGTGTTGAGCCAAATGAGATGTCGCTCTTGAAGAGCGCTAAAAGTAGAAAGTATTTACGGTACGCGATATGTCGCCTTTCAGTGTAATTTTTGTAGTTTGACCGCCATTTTCTTAAAAATACCACAAATTTAGAAAGAGTGCGCGACTATTTGAAATTAAAAAAAAAATGGATTCGTGAATTCCAGATATTTTAAAATTAATAAATTTATACCGGCAAAGTAAGGACACGAAAGATCTTGATTAACAAAATTTCTAATGAAAAGGGTATGCTTTAAAATGCCTAGCCAACGAAACATCATCTCGCCTGCGATAAAAAAGCAGAAAGCAAGCGAGTATCTCACACAGGTGAAGACCGCCCGTTAGCTCCATAAACATGTTTTTCCTTGATACTTTCAAAAACACCCAAAATTTAGTTTTGCCATATTTTTTTTTTTTGAAAAGCAATTTCAAATTGTCTAACACCGTAGAGGAGATATTCGAAGTACTATGCAGATATCGACTCAATTTACCCCCTTCGACCAAAAACTTTCATTATCTTAATCTTCACTCGGCTAAATTACAACCTTTTTCTTTCGTATGGGGGCCAACCCGGTCTAATGTACACGTACATATATATGCATACATGTATGTACATATAGCGAAGGCATATCTCATCTGTACATACACACATACCTTGCATTACCACATCCAGATGTATGCGCTGCAACAACGTCATGAAATTCTCACCGCTTTTCACGCCGGGCCGCACCGCAAATTTAGCAATCGATTTGTACTCCGGAAACTTGTCTTTCAACAAGTCTTCAAATAACTCGCCTGCCAACCATTCGGGTGTGACATCAGCAGTAGCTCTGCTCTGTGGGTCATCCCCGTTCACATCGGTAGGCTGATTGTGCGGTTCCTTTTCCATTGGGCGATAATTTATTTAGATTTTGGGCGATCTACACAACTTGAGGTCTGAATTGAAACTGCGACTGAGTTTTTGAAAACCATTTAAAAGACTTGACCGCCGCTGACAGCTTTGGATGCAGTAGTGGCAGGGCTTCCAATTCGCAAACGCTACACACATGTATGTACATTAGAGTGGTCCAAAAAAAAAGTTTAAAATGTTAAGCTCTCACCCCTTAGAATGTTTCTAATTGAAAAAAAAGAATACCCATATTTTTCTGTTAAAAAAAATGATATTTAGAACTGTCATTAGAAAAATCCTAGGCGTGAGAGCTTAACGTTTTAAACTTTTTTCCTCCTCCTGAATTCTGGGATCACCCTAATGTACATACATGCACATACATATAAATACATATGCACATGCACATTAAGGTGTCCATGTATGTATGCATGCATTTCATAATATATTTACTTAAATGTACTCGCAAAAATAAACTCTTGTTTCTGTTTTTTGTTTTTTTTTTTTGGAGACGTGTGGATGTGCGCAGATAATATTGTTCAACCATTTAATCAGCGTTTACAAGTACCTTAACTCAATTGCGTATTCGGAGCGCTTTTATCGCATTGAGTCTGAATGATGTTACCCAAAAAATTATATTCAGATTTTAGAACCTTGTCAATTTTAAATTATATGTACATTGATTGAATACCCCTTAAATGGTAAGCTTATAATACTGTTTTTTACGCCATAGTTTGTAATATTTCGTAACCATCGTCACGAGGAAATGATAGTTTATATTCAGGGTAATTGCTGCATCTTGCATTTCTCACAAACAAAAAACAAAAAACTGAATTTTTAGAATTGTAAAGTTAAAAATGCCAAAATAAAACTATTTAAATAAACTTTCATAAAACTACCCAGCAGGCAAATGTAATGAATGGCAAGCGAGTAGCTATCGCCTCCAGAATGCGTTATTGCTAACACGGAACATGTCCTAGGAAAATAATGTGTCACGTGTCGATCACTATACATTTAAAGGTTGCATTAAAATTTATGGGGGGGGTGAAATAACACAAACGGCAATAACGCAAAATTTGCTTTATTTCACTTTTAAATGGGAAATAATACCAAAATCTGAGTTTTGCTTTATTTCCAACAAAGGTTGGAAATAAAACAAATTTTGCCTTATTTCCCATTGCTT